TGCAGAATTTATCTTGGATCACAAACCCGGACCCTGAACTCTGAATCGTTTCCCTCTCACTCTCTCTACAGTGAGACAGATCAGCAGGAGTTTTGCTTCTTGGCTTCATGTGGCCTTTATTTATCCCACCAGTATTAAGACTGATGCCTGTGGGAGGCTTCCTGCAGAAAACCTGCTTGCTTTACGAAACGCAGCAGCGTTCCCGCGGTGAGCGGTTCCCGCTTTCAGAAAGCAAAAGGCTTCCACGAAGATGATGCGAGGGCTGGAGCACCTTTCCTATGAGGACAGGCTGAAAGAGTTGGGGCTGTTCAGCCTGGAGAAGAGGAGGCTCCGGGGTGACCTTATAGCGGTCTTCCAGTACCTCAAGGGGGCCTACAGGAAAGATGGGGAGAGGCTGTTCAGGAGGGCCTGTTGTGATAGGACAAGAGGTAATGGTTTTAAAATAGACGGAGGTAGATTCAGGTTGGATATTGGGAAAAAATTTTTTACCAGGAGTTGTAGAACACTGGAACAGGTTGCCCAGAGAGGTGGTGGATGCTCCATCCCTGGAGACGTTCAAGGCCAGGTTGGATGAGGCCCTGAGCAACCTGATCTAGTTGGAGATATCCCTGTTCCTTGCAGGGGGGTTGGACTAGATGACCTTTGAAGGTCCCTTCCAGCCCTAACAATTCTATGATTCTATGATTCTATGAAAAAATACAGCTTGCTGGGGTGACCCACGAGTGAAACCCCCCTGGGAGCGGCCGGAAGCGTAAGCGCTGCCTTCGCACGCGTGATGCGTGGCGGGGAGAGCGCCGGATTATTTCCCTCTTTCCGTGCTGCCTGTTGCTCCGTCGGGGAATTTACAGTGCTGGTTGCACAGGGATTGCTTTCTGCTGGCCATACATTTTGCATCAGCAGGAGAGATCGTAGCTGATACGGGCGGCGCATCACCGTGAGAGCGCAGTGAAACGCTTTAGTCTCTCCAAATTGCATCCATATACTGAGTTTTCCCTAGAAATATTGGTTAGGGAAATCCATTATTTTTTTTTCCTGTGTGCTCGTGGTACAGCGGCGTTGCCAAAACTTTGCACGGAGCAGGTGTTTGCAGAATCCTTGGAGCAAAGTGCCCCTGCAGGCGTGGGGCAGGAGGCAAGACATGAAGGAGGAGTTGCCAGGTTCTGCTCCGTGCTCAGGGTGCGTTTGCTGGGTGAGGGACGGGACGTTATTCACTCTGATATTTGACCTTGACCCTTTTTCTAGTTTGTTTGCACTGTGGGGACCTGGGAAGAGCTCAGATCCTGTTTCCAGCTCTGAGGTATGGCTAAAGGGTCATCAGGGAAAGGAGAAGGTTTGTTCTGGCCAAGATGTTTGGAGGAGAACAAGTCCCTTGCTCGTAAGCAGAGACTAGAGACTCCCTTCTAAGTGCCAGATCCTCCCAAACCGCCTTGTTTTTCTGGCAGAGGGAGAAGAGGAAAGGCTTTTCAGCCTCCTTATCTTCGGGCCCAGCAGCTCTTGCAGCTGAGCTGTGGAATCTTCTTCAAAACAAGAGATTGCTGAGACTTCTCCTTACGGTTCAGTGCCTCTGCTTGGTGGGACTGCTGCAGAGCCCGTCCGTGCTTTCCCTCCCTCTCCGTGCCTCCCCGCCGGTCCCTCTGTTCCCAAAGTTTAGTGTTACAACGCTCTACTGGGGGCAAAATCCACAGTAACGTGGTCATTACTCTTTTGCTGTGAGCAAGGTTAAAATGGGGGGGGGGAGGTTTAGCCTCCTTTTTTTCCTGGCAGCTTTTTTCCAAACTGCTACCTGGGCTTTGCAAATTTTTCAGCAAAATACTGCTGGTGTATAAAGATAAATTTCTGAAATATAGGTGGTTATTTGTTGGTTTGTTTTTTTTTTTTCCACTTGGACCATCCTGGGATGCATCCAGAAAGACCATCCTGGGATGCATACGGGTAGGAGAGGGAAGCAGCAGCGTGTTTTCTCCCTGGATGCCTGTGGTGAGTGTGTCTCACGTGCAGCATGAGTTACCTGCGAGGGGAGGTCCGCCGACGGCTGCTATCCCGGCAAAGAAGGCAGCAAAGCCCAAGTAACTGTGGAGTTTTTCCAGCCCCACCAGATCCACCTGTTTGTAAACCCAAACGGATCGTTATTGGGTTTGTGTGAATGCACATGTGATTTTTTTTTCCCCCCCTTTTTTTTTTCTGGGGAGTTTCCTCTTCAGCTGCTTCAGTTTTGAAAGGACTTTGCACCTCTCGGTCTGATCCAGCCTGGGATCCGCTCGCCTCCTTAAGGCCAGCATGGAAATTACTGGGATGTGAGCTGCTTTTCTGCCTTCCAGCTGCTTGGGCATCTCCCAAAACTAGTAACTCCGCAAAGACTTTGAGGAAGGTGTTTCAAACTCTGAATTCCTTCCCAGAAAGAAGTGCCGAATTGTGGTGATGCCTCCCTGGCCGTAACCAGTCTGTGCACGTTACGGATAATTTTGGGATCAGGAGCAGATATGATCAACCCTCTGGTTTAGCATTAGTGAGAGGGGACTGGGATGAATCCATTCGTTTCCTGTAAGTAGGAGCAATCTCCTTTAGAAAGGAGGACGTGGAAGGCAATTAGCAGGGCAAGATCGTTAAAAATCAGCAATAAACTCCCAGTACTTCTGTTACATCCAGGCTGTGGATCCCAGGAAGTGGGTTGGAAAGGAGATTTGGGGCTTTCCAGTGGAGGGCAGAGCCTGCTCGTGCAGGTCTGCGACAGCCCGGGGTAATTCAGCTTTATGCAAAGATTTTCGGGTTATTTTAGAGTACTGATGGAAATGCCACATACTACGTATTATTTTTTTTTATTATTATTATTATTTCTTAATGAAATATCCTACTCACCAGCACAGGGAGAATCAGAGCCATGAACCCACCGCAGAACACAGCGAAGGCCACGGCATAGGTCATGAGGAACGGGAAGGTGGTGGCCAGAGGGCAGAGCAGGTTGGTGGTGCCAGCGAGGACAAGGTAAGCCACGTGGTAATGGTACTTCTTGGTCCAGTTCTGGTCGGCCACCCAGCCCGAGAGCAGCTGGCTGACCGTCTCTGTGATGCCTGGGGGGAAGAGGAGTTCACCAGAGCCTCAGAGAAGACTTTATTTTTGATTTTTATTTATTTTTTTTTTACTACTTTGCATCCCGGTTCCCCCTGCCGCTCACCGTAAGAACGTGACCGCAACGGGCTGAAGTGCCGGGGAGTTACAGGAAGGTGTTTTTAGGCTGTTGTAAAATTTATGCTTTTTATTTTTTTTTCCCTTCTTTACCTCGCTGCCTGCTATTGCCAAGTGCCTGTGGGTGCACCAAAGTGGTCTGTAAAAATTCAATTAAGGGCTGTGCACTCAGCAGAAAACTCTGAAGTGCCCTTCAGTCAAAATTGGAAAGATGAAGCTTGCTGTTTGATCTCTTTTTCAAGACAGAGAAAAAGCAGAATATTAAGAAGAAATATGCTTATGAGACTTCAATTTTTATAAAAAGGCAAAGAAGGGCAGAAGCCCAGCATTTTTTGTGAAGCCTCAGCAAACTTGATACTTGCTTTTTTACATTTCTCCATATGTTTTTATGAACTGAAGATCAGGGGAGTGCTCCCTGACACCCTCCTTGCTGACCTCTGTGTCCCTCCTCCTCTTAATTTAAAATGTCAGATTAATTGCTGCGCTCTCCTTGTACATACCTTGACAGCAGATGTGATTTCTAAACATTATACAGCTGTGTAGAAGTAAAATTTATTTTTGCACAATAAAATATTTTCTGATGACTGAGGTTGGAGCCGCTTTTTTAACTCGATGTGACTTTAATGTTAATCTCTGCTTACAATCAGGCGTGGTTTTGTTTTTGGGGGATTGTGGGTCGTTGGTATTTTTGCCCTTTGGAGGTGAAGGTGCCAAATCCAAATAGGTAGATCCACCCTGCATTGATTTTTTTTTTCTCTCTCTGCCCACGTTTCTGGCTCAGACTGGAGGTCTTTGAATGCTGAGTGACTCTGGATTTCTGTGGCTTGTGGGTTTAAGCAAAGCAGGGGCCGTGGTGGGAAGGCTTTAGGAGGACAGATAGCACCTATGTCATCAGAAACTTGTCTTTGTTCGGGGTGGTGAGGATGGGGGATCATCTAGCTTAGGTTGAGAGAACCACCCACCATGTGAGAGCGACTTTATGCATGTACAGAAGGCGACGCTATATATACAGGAGAGGGGTAAGGGCTGTGAGCTAAACCTCTTCCATGAAGATTTATTCTAGGACATGGTTGGAACTATTTCTTGGCAAGATTCGTGTTGTGTTTCTTTCCTCTTTCGGTATCGTTGTGATTTTAAAATGGGTTCAAAAGACTCTTTTTTGCCTACCTGCCACTGAAACGAGGTAAGAGGCATCCATGCTGCTGATGTCCAGCGTCCTGGCTCTGGCTACCAGGTGGAAGATGGGCACGAAGTAGGCCAAGTGGCTGAACAAAAAAGACCACGTGAAAATGTAGAAGACGGGATCCTTCAGTGGCGAGAAGTCGAGGAGAGGCTCCGAATTTTCTTTTTTGGCCGGTGGAAGGGATTTGTGGCTTCCCGTGGCCTCGGTGGCTGTTTCTGGTGAGCAGCTGTCCACAGTGGGTTTCTCAAGCCCTTCCAAAGCCGACGTATTTACTGGACCAGAGACATCTCTGCCATGGGGCATCATGGCTCCCTCCGTGGTGGGAAGGTCTTGTGCACTGCCAAACTGTATTTCCCTGTGAGTGGTTTCATCTAAGCATCTATGGAGGGTTTCCAAATCCTTCTTTGTCGTTGAAGACCCACGGTCTTGATTTTTAGCAGAGGAACGTCGAGGTGGCTGCGTGCGGACAGGTCGCAGCAGCATGCTGGAAGGCACGAGGTTTAACATGATGCCTCCAAAAATCAGGAGAGTACCTGAGGGAAGACAGAGGATGGGGTTTTTTTTTGGCGTGGGAAGGGAGGAGCAGTAGGAAATGACCTTTCTAGAAGAGGGTATAGTTTGTACTGAACATGGAGAAAGCTCTGTCCTAAGGAGAAGGGATCTTACAGGGGCTTTTATTGCTGCTTTTCTGGCTGCAAGTCCCTTTCGCTGTGATGCACGCAACGAATCCAGAGCTACCTCTGGAATCTGGGAGCTCGTTTTGTTTCCCCTCATTAGAAGTCCATGACATGTGATGGACCTTCAAGATGGCCTGAAACGGTGTAATAAAAGTAGAGATTTTCAGTTTTGGTTTTAGATCTCTGTTTTGACTCTGACTTGACTTTAATGACTGATTAAGTGTTTAATCATTAACGAGACATTCCCAAACTATCCTAGCAGAGGCAGAGTTGTCCCTCAGCGCATCCAGTTTTAATTTTTAACAAGATCCTCTCATCCTGCCCAGATATCCTCAGACACTCTTTTAATGCTGGTGAGTTTGGATAGATGGGAGATGCGCTCACCTTGCCAGCCGTAAAAATCAATGAGCAGTTGAGTGAACGGCGCAATTAGAAACGTCAGCCCCATCCCGGAGCGGGCGACGGCGTTGGAGAAAGCCAGCCGTGTCCTGCAGCGCTTGGCCGTCATCACCGCGGCCGCCTGGTAAAGGCAGCAGAACCCCATCCCTACAGGAAGGGGAGAAATGAGACCTCCATGCCCAAAAAGTGACCTCTTCGTACCGGGAGCTTTGGGAATTCAAAGTCATGCCATCCCAAGCTCGTTGTCCCCAGAGCAGAGCTGCTCTGTAGGGTTCACGGGCTGAAAGGGGGGGGGACTTTTGCTGTTGCAGTCAGTGGAGAAAGACACCTATTTCATAGAATACAGAATCATAGAATCATAGAATCAGAATGATTTGGGTTGGAAGGGACCTTAAAGTCATCTAGTTCCACCCCCCCTGCCATGGGCAGGGACACCTTCCCCTAGATCTGGGGGTTTCGAGGCTGTGTGCTTTTAGTAAGAGATTTTAAAAGGCCAGAGACCACGTTGGGTCTGGGGAAAAAAAAGCAAAATTAGTTGAGTCCAGCATGTTAAAATTGGCATTTTATGCTCCTGAGCGTGAAGCTCTGGGGTTTCACGCTAAAGGAGCTGCTTTTCCTCAGCGAATCTCTGCCCGACTGCGGCTCGCAGGCTGCTCACCCA